AACATTCCTTTATACATGTGATCCAGTCATCCTCGTAGTTCCCTGCAAAGTGAATTGCACGAGGTATTCAGATGTTTTAAGGATGAATCCAAACCACAGGGAGTGAAAATGTTCCATGGGGAGGGAACGTCAAACTGCACAGGAAGTAAACAACAGTTTATCACTTCACAGGAAGCTGCAGAAAAGTCTACCCATCAGTCACTGCAAGGCTGAAGTCACTGAAGATGCTTGATTATGACAATGAAGGTATTTATCACTGTAGTTCTTAATCAACACTCTGTGGTCAAGCGTGTGGGAAATACAGCAGAACTGCTTAGAGATGCTGTGTCCAAAGGTGTTTCCAAAGCGCCTCTGATCCAGATGTTGTTTTGCAGGCGTTGACTTTTATGATTAGACTGCAGGTCAGTTTTCCTTCTAAAGAATCATGTTTGTGAAAGCAGCGCTGCTCAGTAGAACGGAGCTCCATCACTCCTCTATCAGCTACTCCTTCCTGCAGGTCCTCTACTGTCATGTGGGGGTTTTGCTTTGCCTTTCTGTCCAGCTTTTCTATCTAAGAGTTATAGATCTTGCCCTGACTTCCACAGTTCCCCTTAACTGCCACTAGTTAATGACATTAGGTGGAAATTGCAAGCTGGAAGTGCTTTAATATATTTTCATGGACTTTTCCTGCTTTTTAGGCATTAATTAGCTTCATTTTCAGATCCTCAGCTGAGGAGCTCATGGTTATTGATTGTTAGCACAAAGTTTGAAGAGTCAGAGAATTTACTATTCTCTGGAATTGGAGCTGATAATTCCTGTTGACAGTTCTTGACCTGCCTAACCAGTCCTAATGACTCTGAGCAACAACACGTAGGATCTGGGGATTTGGAGCCCTCTCTGGTGGAAATGTGTAATTTCCACGCAATGTGCAGAAGAACATTTTGTAAAGTTGTTTATGCTTCAGACCCTAAAATCTGACTTTGCGAGTGGGTTGAAGGAGAATTGAAAGAGAGCTCAGTCTAAACTGAGTGAAGGAGCGTCTTCTGAGGATGTGAGTGAATTATCTACTACTGTCATCATATCTTCATCAGTATGATGCTGATTTTGAGATCATTTGAGGCCGAAACATTGAGCCAGACCTTCTTTTTGAGTCTGTGTGTGACGTTAATATGTAAAGACGTACGACGTGGTGTGAAAAACTCACGACTCTGACTTTTAATGATGATTTCAGGCTTTACAGGTGATTCACAGCAGCGCAGACTCACCATATTTTAGCCTGTTTATATTCTCCTCACTCAGTAATGAAGCTTCGTTCAGTTTTAACTAAAACATCTTACATAGTGCAGCTTTAAGCTCTGATACTTTTACTTTTGCACACGTTACAATTTTATTATTTTTATTTCTTTCTAGTTTTTAACTTAAATGTAAAATATCTGTGCAGCAGTGTTGGGCTGATCATCGACGGCTGACAGAGGTCACAATGTTGAGCCAGCATCCTGATGCCACAGCGCTTTGATAACGCTCCTCACATGTTCACCGTGGTAGCTAGCGTGGTTAGCACAAAGCTATTTGGGATTTAGATCAGTTCTAGTTTAAACACAGACATTTTTAGCTCATAACAGTTCTGTAAGTAACACGCTTTACTTTTTCTCCATTTTTCAGTACCTCTTATTCGAAGGCTTAAACCTGAAGTGCTTTATTATTGTAGCATTAGCCTGTTAGCCGGTTAGCTTTCTGCTACCTGTCCAGCCTGCTAATGAGGGCGGAGTACAGCCAGTTCAAGACACTGTTTCACATCTATCTCAGAGCAGGGACCTGAGCACAAACTCAATGTTGTTCTGACCCGCACTCATCTGTTTGTCTTTTTTTTCATCCCTTGTTTCTCCCATTCATTTTTGCCGCCAATACAAGCTCGATACTGCACAGCCACACTGACCAGCACTTCTCTATATGTCATTTTTACATCCCTTGTTCCTCCCATAGACTCCCATTCATTTTCAACATCTATCAACCACTTGACCATCCCCTAAAAAGCACTCAGTAAACAGCTGGTACACCATAGCAACTTGCTAGCATCACCTTAGCAACCACGCAATCACTCTGCATTTTCTTCAGGCACTATTCTAGTTTTTATTTACTGATTTATTACTGATTAATATTTAATGATTCCTCTGTTCATATTTGCACAAAGGGAATGTGATCAATGTAAACGCAGATCCTACAGTTCTGACTGGTTAAAAAGTAAAACTTCAGTGCATACACTGGTGTTTTTTAATGCTATGAGTTTTCCTAAAATTAGATTAAAAAAAAAAAATCGCAATATACTGAATCATAACCCCTGAATAGTGATATGTATTGTGTCACCAGGCTCTTGCTAACACACAGCTCTTGGAGACATCGTCATCTGCCGGTTAGGCCGACATCACCCAACTCTACTGTGCAACATTTGCTGCAAGTCGTCTGCTTTTCACTCCAAAACCACACAAAATATCCAAATTTCGCTGTGAACATTTACATTTTGAGCTTCGGCTTCATAATAAAAATGCTCTTTTATAAACTGACCCGCATTAAACCAGCTTTAAACACTGAACTGAATTAGCCGTACGGGATCGGTTTGTCTCTCTGCATTAGCCTACATTAGCATGGATGACCCCAAAACAGGCCGAAAGCTCCTACAGTCAGAGTTACGCTGACCTTTCACAGCGGTCAGCATCAAAGCCTTCAATTTCTCTGTGCTTATTTCCCAAATCACGAGTCAAACTTATAAAACTTTGTCATGTGCTGTTGCTTTCGGACTCTCTGACCTCCATCAGCTTTCGGTTAAGACCTTTAAGACCTTTTTCATACATTGAGAAGAATAAAGCTCCGGCCTTATGTTCTAGAGCGGGTTCCTCAGCCTCTTTAAGAGCCTTAACACCGTGCAGTTTCCTGTTTGAGCTCATGACGGATGTGCTAATTAGCAGAGTTGCTGAAACTTTCCTGCAGCAGAAACGTTCTGAAAAGTCCATTTCCAGCTGGACCCGCCTCCGAGCACCTGTGACAGGTAGGACCTGCAGAGCACCTGGCTGCGTAGACAAGTTAACATTGAGCTCCAGGTGGAGGAGAAAAGGCAGGTTAGAGCAGGTAGAAAACTGTGAGTGAGGGAAGCGGTGACTTTGAGATTTTCCAGTAAAACCACCAACGAACATAAGCCTATTAACCACTACCGAGCAGGGAAATGGGTCAGATGCAGGAGATAGAAAGCTTAGCTCGGCGTTTTCACTCTTACGACTTTAAAAACGTGCTGCGTCTGGTGGAGAAGAAAGGAAGTGAGCTGTGGAGAGTAAAAATGCTGAGTTTCCGCATGTTTTACTCATTAAAGGTAAAAAAGAAAGCAGCCCGCTTTATTAATGTCCCGCTCCGCCTTAAATGGTGCAGCAGCAGCGCTCTGGCGCCTCGGGCTGCTGATACTGCAGCACCATTTAAGGTGGAACGGGAAATTCGAGCGAGAAGCTTCGCACAAAACTCTTCATGTCGGGTTTTAAAAACGCAGAAAAACGTCCAAACACAAACAAACAGCCAAAAACAGCCACAATTCAACCTGAACCGAAACAAGACGAGCAGTAAAAACGATATCAGCTCATTTGTTTAACGTTAAAGTAGATTAGCAGCGTTTTGTAACCGCAAACACTCAAACAGGGCGGAAACTCCAGCGAGCTGGAGGACTTTTAACACTTTTAACACTTCTAATAATTTACGAACAGCTACATTTTAAGCTGTCCAGCCACTGTTAAACAGCAGAGTTTACAGATTAAATTTAACTCACCAAAATATCCCGAAGCTCCTCACCGAGAAACTGAAAGCAGTTTAATCAACTCCGAATCGAATATTCGGATCTAACTCACTTTATTAAAGTCAGATTAGCTCTAAATAACACTTTACTACCCTCAGATCAGCTCTGTTTCACTTTAGTAAAGCCAGCGGGTGTCTCTCTGTCTCTCTCAACTCTAAACAGCAGAAACAGGCGGGGCGACTCTTTAAAGAACCGATTCATCTGAACAGACTCATGAGTCTCGAACCTGTTTGTAGTTTTTTGTCTGCTGTTATTTTGTTATTAAACCCTAACCCGTCTAAAAACAGCTGGATTTAACTGTTTTTTTGTCACTCTTTTGTGTCTGGCAGCAATATGTCAAACTTCTGAGTCGAAATAATGACTTATTTTCTCTGAATATTCATGGAGTAATTACTTATTTACTGGATATACTCTTTCGAAGTAATAATCACCAGAAATGACTGTCCTGGAAAAAAAATACTTGATTGAAATTTAGTAACTCATTAGTTTAACATAGTGTCACAATCTCAAGATCTGTCATAATTACAAAATACAAAGTTAATATTACCTGTCCAGGGTGTATCCTGCCTTCTGCCCAGTGACAGCTGGGATAGGCTCCAGCACCCCACCGCGACCCAGAAGGATAAGCGGTTTAAATTATGTATGTATGTATGTAAGTTAATATTTCAAGAAAAGTCAATATCATTTTAAGATACTAAGTCAATATTACATGACAAAAAGTCATTATTTCAAAATGTGAAGTCAAAATTTAAAACAAGTCGTTATTTTGAGATACTAAATTAATATTTTGACTGCAGTCAGAAACAGAGAAGGAGAATAAAACATGCATGTTTTCTCCTCTTTCTGCAGGGCTGAGCCTCCATCTGCACTGTTTCTGAAACTGTGGTGAAAGTGCTCAGTGAGTGTGACGCTCATGCAGCAGTGCAGTATGTCAGAGCAGATGATCCTCAGATGAGCTGAGAACATTAATGCAGGATAAGACAGCACAAAGAGGAGAGTCCAGCAGAGCAGAGGCCTCATCACAGCCAGTGCTGACCAGCAGGTTAATGTGTGTCAATGAAGTGAATCACATGCTGTGACCTTCAGTCACCACACCTCAACCCAGCTGAAATGAGACTGAGATTCTGGAGTAATGTATCAGCCCACATTCTCCACCACCATCGACACAACACATCTTTAGGAGGAGCTCCATCCCTCCAGAACAGCTCCACAGACTCTAGAACCCATGACGAGGAGAACTGAAACTTTTCTGATGGCTCATAGTGACGAAACACCTCAATAACACACTCTACTTTGATTTTTACTTTAATATGGGACCCATATGTGTGTATATACACACACACACACACACACACACACACACACACACACACACACACATATATATATATATATATATATATATATATATATATATATATATGAATACGAGTCTTTGTCCACAGAAAAACATGCATCTCAATTTTTATTTTTCTACATAAACTGACCATGGTGGCTTCATGATGGAAAGTTTCATGATGAATGGACTGATAAACTTGCTCCAGAATCAAAATTGTTTTTTGTTTTTAACATAGTTTGAAAATGTCTGTTCTCTTTCTGCAAGTCTGATGATAATTGGACCAAAAGAAACAACTCAATCACTCAATCAAGGCTGGTTCCAATGATTTACATTAAGAGTAAAGTGTATTTTTTCTTTCTACTGTAAAATTACAATTCTGGAGATATGAGATTTTGATCTGACAGCAGTGATATCGTCACTGTTGTGCAGATCTTGAATCACAGTTTTTGTCATTTTTTTTATGTTTTTGCAGTGTTTGGAAGCTCCTGTTCCTCTTTACATTGTGTTAAAATGTAATGATGAACAGACAAACAGAAACAGTGCAAAAGTACTTCGAAAAAATAGTTACATTGCCTTCCATTACAAAAACACACATGCGCGCATATATTATATATATATATATATATATATATAGGAGACCCATACAGTGACCCTTTCAATAAAAGCTGAACAGCTTCACTGCAGAAACTTGACTCAGAAAACAGAAAACATCAGATTCACTCACTGAACCAGTCTGACTGTACTTGACTCCTGAATCAGTGAATCATTCTCTCAGTCAGTCAGAGTCAGTGGAGTAACTGAGCTGAGGCTGGTAGGCAGTGAGGCTGCAGGAGGAGCAAATCAGCATGTTGGAGTTCAGTTCAGCATGAAAGCAGTTTTTTTGGTGTACAAATACAAAGAAAAACAAACAAAAAAACAAAAAACATCAGCTTCATTAAAAAATCAGTTTTATTCCAGAATATAAAAATGAAGATGAAACATTAAAGCGACTCAGTTTTGGTTATGAATGCCCACAGTCTGCTCAGAAACACGGAGAGCGACGAAGACCACGATGACAATGATGAAGACTCTTCGCTCTCTCGTCAGTCACACCATCAGACATCATCACTAAATCTACAGCTTCACTCATAAATACACAAACACCACGTTCAGCGCTCTGTTCACCACCGTTACCACGGAAACCAGCACCCCGCTTCCTGCCCTCACTCGCTACAATACACTCTGTGTGTGTTTGTTTGTGTGTTTAATGCGGTGAGTGTGTGTGCGTTGCTGGCGATTCTGAGCGCTCTGATTTGACGCTGGTCTCTATGGCGACAGGTGAGGTTGCCGTGGTGCCGCCTTTGTGCTCCAGTGAGGATGAGGACGATGATGATGAAGGAAGTGACACCACGATGTATTTCTGCAGGGGTCGCGACCCCGCCACAGCCCCGCCCCCAGACTCCAGCTTAACCAATGGCTGCAGGGGGGTGGAGCTACTGGGAACCGTGCTTGTTACTGGAGAACCAGACTGAGAGGAGCTCAGAGTGATCACCTACAGACAGAGAGAGAGAGAGATGATGCACATTGTTAGCATTAGCTACCTTTGCTAACTTCAGTACAGTTAATGATCATTTGGCGCATCAGGCGTTAAAAAGTTTGTTTCTGAGCCGAACCATCCTGTACAGATCAGAACCAGAGCAGAACCAGAGCAGAACCAGAGCAGAACCAGAGCTCTGCAGAATCATTTTAAATAGTTTTAACACAGAAAACGTCGATAATTGAATCTTCAGCTCAGAACTGAAAGCTGAACTGTCGCTCTGGCGTTAACACGCTGCTGCAGGTGGGCCGAGCCGTCGGCGCTGCAGGTGACGGTGGTCTCCATCTCGTTACCTGCTGAGTGGAGGCGGCTCCGGCGCTGGTTGCCATGACGATATACTTGGTTGCCGGAGGTGACGGCTGGGTGGGTGTTGCCGGGCGAGTGGACATGAGGGTGAGTGAGCTGGGCACTTTGATAATGCTTGGGGTCCGAGGTCCACCAGACCCCCCAACCCCACCACTCTGAGAAACAGAGAGAGAGGGCCTCGGCTACAGAGAGAGAGAGAGAGAGAGAGAGAGAGAGAGAGAGAGAGAGAAAGGAAGACAGTGAGACAGATTCATATATGATTCATTACTACAATATCATGCAGGTCAGAGATGTGACACAAAAACATTATGATACGATGTTATAACACATCATGATATTATTCAGTGATACAGAATTCAATACAATCAGAATTAACAGTACAACATGATATGAATATATAATATAATCACAATATGTTATGATATGATACAAATCAATAATAGAATATAATCAACAGTTGCGATACGAATCAATATGAGAGCAATGACACATTTAAAACCCTAAACCCTAACAAACAATCAGATTCAACAACACAACACGATACGACACTTCGACACGACGCGCCGTGACTGACGATGGTGGTGGACATTAGTCACCTGTGTGATGGTCAGTGTGGTTCTGTTCACAGTCTGAGCCTGCAGCGCTGCCTGAGCTCGAGCCTTCACCACGTGAGAACACAGCATGGGTCCTAGATATCCGAAATCAGCTCGGTACTGTTCCACCACGTCTGGAGCAGGACGCATCTTCGCTATCACACTCGCACAGTGCTTCTACAGAGAGAGCGAGAGACAGAGAGAGAGGAAGAGAGAGAGAACAGAGAGAGAAAGAGAGAGAGAAAGAGAGAGAGAAAGAAAGAAAGAGAACAGAGAGAGACAGAGAGAACAGAAAAAGAGAAAGAGAGAAAAAGAGAGAGAGAGGGAACAGAGAGAGAACAGAGAGAGAGAGAGAGAGAGAGAGAGGAGCAGTAAAGTGACAGTTCAGTCACACAGCTAATAACCCAAAGTGGAGTCAAGGCAGGTTTGGTGTAACTCAGGAGCTACGAGGCTAATGTGGCTAACACGTAATGGATTAGCCTGGTGCTAACCGCATGCCTAAAGCCTTACAGTGAGTGGAGATGTTCATTAATCTCTAACAGACGGGATACAAGCTTCCATTAAGGTTAAGGGACCCTTATTAGTCCCACAATGGGGAAATTTCACCTCCGCATTTTGCAGTGAAACGCCACATACACACTAGTGAACACACACAGTAGGGGGCAGTGAGCACACTTGCCCGGAGTGGTGGGCAGCCCTATCCACAGCGCCCAGGGAGCAGTTGGGGGTTAGGTGTTTTGCTCAAGGGCACCTCAGTCATGTACTGTCGGCTCAGGGGATCGAACTGGCGACCTTCCGGTTGCAAGGCTGGTTCCCTAACCTCCAGCCCACAACTACCCCTACTTGTCAGTAACAGTAGCCTCGTAGCACCAGTGCTAAAAACGTTGCCACAGCGCCTCCTTCAGTCTCACCAGCAGCAGACTCTGTACGTGATCTGCTCCGATCTTATCGATGTTGGACACCACCGGCCCCTCCATCACCGCCTTAATACGAGCTCCTTCCACGGCCAGCCGGGGGATTATCAGCGTCTTTATCACCTGCAGAGAGAGCGAGACGGAGAGAGAGAGAGAGAGAGAGAGAGAGAGACAGACAGACAGACAGAGAGAGAGAGAGAGACAGAGAGAGAGAGAGAGAGAGAGAAAAAGAGACGTTAGACGTTCTAAGTTCTCAGCAGCAGTAACAGCAGCAAAGAATATGAGCTCCTAAAACTTTAAACATTTTTGTTGATTTTTTGGATGTACAGCAGCAAACAATAGTCTAAACTCTACCTAAACATACCAAGAATATTTAGACTAACTTTGAGGATCTACAGACCAGCAGAAAAGGAAGAAACTGATCTAACAAGATCCAGCTATC